ACGAGGATTTTATTTTACACCTTATCTTTTAGTTTGAAATTACATTACTCATAAGTCTGTTACACAGAATATTAGCAATATTTTATCTCCATGATATTGTTGATAAATGAATTATAGTGAAAAGTATGTTTGCTACATGTTCGCTCTGATACACCTGGACAGGATCTTAATGAAATTGAATACACAGATAGGATGAGAATAAATTTTAGCTATTATTTTATTTTATTATTATATTATTTTATATTTTTTATTTTATCATTTAAGTTGTAATAAGTCTGAGAAGAAATAAAGTACCCTCACAGAAAACCGGCGTGAAGTAACGCTTGCGTTGTGTTTCGTCGTGTAAGTGAGGTTACCGGAGGCCCAATTACCCTCCCCTTCCCCAATCTCCCCAATTCCTGAATCCCCAACGAACCTCAAACTCCTAATCCCCAAAAAGGCCGGTAACGCACTTGTAACGCCTCTGGTGTTCCAGGTGTCCATGCGCGACGCCAATTTCTTACCATTAGGTGATCCGTATGCTCGTTTACCGGCTTATGCCATAAAAAAAAGTAATTAAGACAATACTTTTGACCAATACTAAATATGTAACACGCTGTCTAAAACGAAAGTTCTTTAACCTTAGAAAAATCTTTCCTTTGCATCCATCCATATATTGACAAAAACAATATTTATTTATTGAATCTTTACCTTCCTATTTAGGGGAATAGAATTATTATGTGAAGTATGCAAGTAAATAACACAGGTGTTAAATATATCTCACACAAAACACGATAACGACTATACCTACAGTTAACAAAAATAAAATTTAAACTTGTTTCCGCCATTACAAATAGATTATGTGCGTGTACCATTGTTTTTATCACCTTCTTCATTCAACTTGTAATTGGAAACGAATTGTCGTCTAAAATAAACGTTACTTTACGCATAGAGAGAAAATGGAGTATTTGGTTTAAAGGACTCGGTATTATAATTATAAATATAATATATTGGCCTTACCCAAAAAACTATAGATGTATTTGTATTTACAGCTTAAACATGTTGATTAAGAACATAGTAAAAGTATAGAAAGAAGCACAAAATATACACAACAATCTTTATAGGCACCTTCTTCTATTTTTAATATTTGTTCAAAAATAAATTTATGAAGTTGTCAGGTTGTATATGTTTGTAAGAAGTTTTCGTTGTCTGCTGATAGAGGCGCTGTTCTTTATCTCTTTGCTTATGTTCGTTTTGTAATGACGTTGCGTTTAAATAAATATCGTGATTTTTATGAATTCTGACAAGTGCTTATATTGAAATATTGCCTAATCCCAATAATGTTATTCTCAATGCAATTGATAGACTCTATAAATCGCACTAAAATGAAAACAGAATATGCAGATGAAACCAGGGATGGATACTAGAGGTAGTGTCGTATAACAAAGGACGAATTTATTTTATCGGACTGGATTCAAGAAACTTTATTTCGTAAAGGGAAAAAGCAATTGCGACCAATAGCCTAAAAAGGCAATATATGAGTCAGCAGATAAAATTGTAGATAAAATTTTCATTCAGACATGTTAGTACAATCGTTCGGTAGTTTTGAATCGAGGTTTTCGCGTAAAATGTGCGTTGGAAATCTTGGAATACATTTTGAGACGTTCATGCGACTAAAGTATTGATTTTACAAAAGAAAGATTACGAACATAACATAACATCATACACAACGTAGGCGGAGGTGCATATTACGGCACTTAATGCCACTGTATAATGTAACACCCACTTTTCACTGTTTATGTTATGAGTCCCATGTGGTGTGAGCCTATTGCCATATACCGGGTTCAATCACAGACTCCGTGCTACTAATGAGATTTTTTTTAAACCCAGTAATTCTTTGCCCAACCCGGGAACCGAACCCGAAACCCCTTGCCCGGCAGTCGCACTTGCGACCACTCGGCCAATGAGTCAATTTCGAACATAAGTACAACTTATATTGACATTTTGGTATGGAGAATTTAGTAGTACCTACTGTAGGTAGTGTATTGGCCATTTCCCATAATTAACCTCTACTTTGAACCAAAATAATGTATAGAATACAGGACATAACAGTCCAGTAGGTAAATAGTACCTACACCTTATCGCAGACGGTGATAGCACTGCAGTTTATTTTCAATATCTCTATTTACTAAAAACAATATATGTACTTATAAGAGTTTTTGAAAAGCAAAAGCATTTTATATGCATATCACAATAACAATCCCCTATGTACAATAGACACTTGTAAGACCCCAGACCCCTTAGCCCCCAGAGGGCTCTAGGTCGAGTCCTAAACCAATAGTAAAGTTTAAGATCAAATAGTTTATTTACTTTTAAGCTTAAAGGGTTAGTGAATTGTTACATTTTAGAAATGGATTTATAGCATTTTACAAAGATTGACACAATGAGTACGTAATTCTAGAGTGTTTCTTATATTTTCTAAGACATATCTTAACTTGATGCTAAAATACATAATAGTTTCATAATCGAACAAATGTTTATCATTTGTTTATGGTATTTTTCAGAGAAAAAGTACCTTATCGAAATAATTTGAGAAAATTGCAAAATACATAAACTTTTTGCTTTTTTGGATTGCATGTTATCAGGTGATCCGTATGCTCGTTTACCAGCTTATCCCATAAAAAATTCTAGACTGTGTTATATCTTTATCTTGTTATGTATTCTTTGTAATTCTTCTGTAAGTGTGTATGTCACTGAACTTCTCTCAAATGATTGGACCGATTTTGATGAAATTTTTGTGTGTGTTCAAGGGGATCTGGGAATGGTTCAGATTCACAAATCAGCCCGGCAGATGGCGCTGCAGTCGATGTTTAGATTATTTATCCTAAACAGCTGAACTAATTTAAATGAATTTTTGTTTATACATTCAAGTGGATATGCAGGACTACGTCTGTCGGGTCCGATAGTATATATTGTATATATCTTAACTTGATGCTAACATTCATAACAGGTTCATAATTCAAACAAACGGTTTATCATATGACAAAATAAATAATAATCGAAATATTTGCAAAAATTGCAAAATTCATAAACTAGAATATTTGCTATCACTAAAAAAATGCAAAGGAACTGGCGTTTTTTTAAGTTCAACCCGGTTAAATAAATAAGATAACGGCGGTTTCGAGGTAAATATCGCGATATGTAATTTTACGCGGTCACGTACATAGGTGTATGTCTATCAATACCTTTTTTTTATATAAATTGATTTGCCGAAGACATTATATCCTGTTCGCTGACCCTAAGTTATAGAAAAAAAATGTGTAAATATTTGCAAACTAATACTAAACTACCTGATAAAAACACAGTGTATCATCTGAGGGGTAAATAGGAAGTGTAAGTACTTTTAAATAGCTAAAATGTTATTATAACAGGTAACCAGTGTGTTTATGTGTATAACAAAAAATACTGGATACATAACATAACATCACGCCTTTTATCCCCGAAGGAGTAGGCAGAGGTGCACACAGAGGTATGTCGAGATTCCTATGTAATACTGGATACAATTCCTTGGGAATATCTAAATCAAACACTGCCGGCATAGCGAGTAAAGCGCAATAAGTAACCGCGACACTGATTCAAAGCAGGAGTTGGACAGGGTACAGTTGTAGTTCAGTAAGAGTCTGATACTCCCTCACATCTTACCCAGGGTGAGAGAAGTCATTTGACGTGTTTTCCCAAAAAAAAGGACCTTATACTCAACAGCCATACTAACAAACAGGTAAATATAGCAGAATATACTTACTGCTGTAGACACGGATGAAATCGGCAAAAAGTGAGCACACTATACATTTGTACCTCTCTCTACTCCACGGAGAATAAAAAGCGTGAAGTTATAGGAATGTAAAGGTGACAGTGAGTGGTTCAATTTGAATATATTTCCTCAGCTAGCTTTGATTTGAAACATATCGTCCAAACTGAAACAGGGCGACAGTGATACATGGGAGAATAACGTGACGTCAAAGAGAATTTTTGTAAAAAGCCATATATAGCAATATATACAACATGTAACTTAAACTGTCAAACACCAAGCGGTCACCGGTGACCGCGACCTATTGTTCTTTAATTGTGTCTATAAAACCGGTACTCGACGAGTTAAATAATGCACATCCTGAAAATAGTTTGTTCAGAATCGTTAACTGAATCGATTTATGTAATTTTTACTATAGGAAATTTTTATCCCAAAAATAATTAAAACTACGGAAATTATTGTCATATTAACCCTGTATTGTTAAAACAAATCGAAATGGACCGTAGGTCAAAGCAATAAGACTTTTAAAATCGCAGTTTTATTTGTATTCATACAAATTCTATCATTAAATACAAAATAAAGAAAAATAAACCTTACGACAAGACCACTAAGGATGGATATACATGTTAAATTAAAAATTTAGTGTATGTATTATGATTATAACATAATATTATAATTGAGGTGTTTGAGGGTGTGCGTTAATTACGTTATATGTTGTATATAAAGGCGTTTTATCGGAGTATTTTAATAGAGCCATGGTACCTAATCTGCAATCTGAATAAAAAAAGAAGACTGCTATAATTTTGGTCTTTGTAAGCATCCTCTATGCTTGTCGCATCAAATCTATGCGTAATTTATAATAAGTAGGATTTATACAGTAAACATTATCATTTATCCAATTATCCCAAGGATTTCGACTACAATCACAAAATAACGAAACTGAATATCACTACATAGTATAAAACAAAGTCGCTATCCGCCGTCTGTCTGTCCCTATGTATGCTTAGATCTTTAAAACTACGCAACGGATTTTGATGCGGTTTTTTTAATAGATAGAGTGATTCTTAAGGAAGTTTTATTTGTATAATAAATGCATATTGCATCCGTGCGAAGGCGAAGCGGGTCCTAGTTTATCAAATATAGCCATTTTATTAGGGCTGCTTAAGAATATCTGTAGTTGTTATCTAAAATAATTATTTTAGTGAACACGTACCTCTAATAATAGGCATGTTAATAGTAAATCCAATCACATTTTAGGCACAACACAGGCATTATACACTCGTACACTCGTCCACTACACTAAATCCACAGACGATTGTTGCAGCTTATCAGTTTCCTTGTTAAATATCGACACGTAGACTTATACATGTGTAGAGAAGACAAGATGGTTGCGAGAATTTGGTTTCAAAAATGTTTTATTTATTTATTTGGGGGTATGAAAAATGATAAACACTATTTATTTAAGTTTATTGGCTATTTCTCAAATACCATTTTGTTTTTTTTTTTTTTAAGGGGTGAAAATCATCGAATGACTGCTCCCGCCTGGGTGAGGCGGAAGGGAGTGTCAGACTCTTACTGACTAAAAACCACCCCGTTCCTTCTCCTGCACGTCGAGCCGGAGCCCCGGTTACCCGTTAGGTTCTCCGCGACTTCTCAAATACCATAGTCTACATTTTCTATTCGGTTATTTATTGTGAAGCAAATCTGGGAGAAAATCCATGGACATCTTTAATTCACTTATTTATTTAGTTTGTATGTAAGTTAAAATAAAATATTAAATTTTAAACCTTTATTTATTAATCACATAAAATTCGTAATGCATTAGGTTTCTATTAGATTTTAGATGTTAATATCTAAATGTCATGTCAAATTTACCCTCATATTTGATTTATAAATTATACAAACTATAACGAATGTCTTAGATTGTGAACCTAACATTGCACGGTTGTAGATAAAACTAAACTCCTAAGTAATGTACAAAGAAGGAAACATGAATTTACTTATTTACTGATTCATCAAGACGTGGGGGAAGTCCACATACCTACATACGTCTTCATGACATAAGAAAAATAACGGAGACGTAATAAGAACACACCACTCTCTATTGTTAAAATGAACTAAGAAATAAATAGGTATTAGGTAAAATATTAAAACCACAAATATATGATAAAGAAAAGTGACTCAATGGTATCAGAATTGGTATGTACAAATGTACTGTCTCAAAACTATATTATTAGGAATCATTTTTATCAATTAGGTAAGAATTATACTACCTTATACCAGTTTAAGATAGTATACTTAAATACATACATAAATACTACCTATATAGTACAAAAATACGAAGCTACATATAGTTAAAAATAACTATAAACTAATATTAATTTATTACAACACTGACAATGCAATAAACGGAGCGACTAGTATTGTACAGCTTCTATTTTTTATCTCATTCTCTAATAGCCCTCTCATTAACTCCTACAATTAAACATATACTGCTATCTCCCTCTTAAATACTGTACTCAGCGCTAATTGTGTATCATTAACTTAACAACTTCATAGTTCTAAATACCGAGTACCAACTGACATGTTCAGATAACAGGGTCGCTAGTATCTTCGTAAAACAATTTGACTTGGATATTTTAAAGTATGTAAATCCCTTAGTTCCTATTTTATTTAGGTCATGCCTAAGAATACTCAAGATTCAATTGATGATGTTCTGGATTTTTTTTTAATAGTGGAAATTATCTAATGACTTCTCCCACCTTGAGTGAGGTGAGAGGGAGTGTCAGACTCTTACTGAATAAAAACCATCCCGTTTCTTATCCAGCTCGAACCGGAGCCCCGGCAACGCGTTAAGTCCTCCTCGGCTAGTTTTCGTATTTTAAATTAATTTAAAATGTTATGGCGTCACTAGTTCCTATTTCAAATAACGGTTGGTAATGAGATTTCTCAATTTGGCTGTACAATCTATACTTTCAATAACTCTGTTCGCGGTCTACTTTATCATAGAGATAAGGTGTTAGATAAAATAACAAAGGAATCCAAATGTTGCTGTTACGAAAATATTTTTTCTTATAATCTTTGCAATAATTGCTTTGCTAATATTATAATTATTTTTATTTATACTTTTCAGATTGTGAGTTTGGGGAGAAAGCGTTACAAATTATAGCCAAATTTTGACGTGATAGCTTGTGCATAGTGTATTTTCGTGTCTACTTGATAGAAATTCAGACAAAGAATTAGTTCATGGTTAAATCAGAAAATAAACAAAGCGCCCCCACTATGTCAAAATCTGACCATCGTTCATGCTGGGAATTATAAATGCATCATTCGTTAGGAATGGTGTCATAGATACCTAATCATTTAGTTTCGATAATAATCTACTCACATAATATTGGTCGAATGACGTCAATTTTCTTAATCGCCACTGAGTTTGCCAATCCAATACTAATACAATAATCCTTATCGGCAATGTCTGTAATGAGATGAAAACGGACAAACACACATTTAAGTCAGCCATGCACTGTCAATTGTGTGAAGACGAATAAATAATTTAAACATGCACTTCACATTCAAAGCTGAACAAGAACAGTAAGTGAATGCTTTCTTTTTATTCCCCAAAGAGGGAAATAAAGGTTATCAAGGACTTCAATCATCATGGTTATCAAACACGAGTCACGCCAGAGGCGTACTACTGGAGAATGTAGTCCTATAGTGAATGGACTGCTAATAATAACAATGAAGAAATACCAAGTAATAATTGCTGTATAATACAATGCACATATTCTTCACAGCTTATAATAATATCTACTAATACTCGTGTAAGCACGTGATCTTTGTCTAAACCCTCTCATGGGAGAATAGCGGTTTAACAAAAGGCCGGGGTTCATAGTTAACTATAGGGGACCTTCGGGAACTTAGCCTGTTTTATTTGTTGTTAAGATAAACATCGCTTCAGCCGTAAACTTTGTACTACAAACTGTATACACGTTACCATTGGAACACGATTATTCTTGTGATGTGGTGGCCGTAAGTGTAACTTTCGAGCTTGATATTTTGAGTTGCGTTCTTAAATTAGGACAATATTTACTAGATTTTGTCTAAAGTATCTATGAAACACATATATTTGGATCCATATTCTATGGTAGGTACTATAAATGTACATAGTTTTCTTAATCTATTTTTATAGCAATACACCCATTCAAATATATACAAAAATGGGTATATTGCTATATCCTCTCGCGTGTTTCTCGTACACACGGGTGTACGAGAGAGTTGAGTGCCCATCGCGCAATTGTACGCACGGGTGTACGAGAAACGCGCACCGATTGGATATTTTTTCTGTGACGTATATTTTCAAGTTTGCAACCCGTTCTTTTCTTGATTGAACAGAATAGTTAATTCGCTTTTCTATAAAAATATTTACCGGTGTGTACGCAGCGTTTACCCATGTGTACGAGAGGCGCGCGAGTGGATATAGCAATATACCCATTTTTGTGTATATTTAAATGGGTGTATTGCTATAAAAATAGATTAAGTAAACTATGTACATTTAAAATGTAAATCTACTAGGCATTCACATGATTTTTAAATTACATACTGGCTAGTTGGTTTTATAACGATAAGCGATTGGTAAAAAAAATAAAAACTTACCTTATGACTGATTCCAGACCATTCACCACTTACAAATATTAATCAAGCACTTTCATTTAATGCAATGTACTATCGAGATCACGTAGTAAGTAACCACAATGATGGGCGCAAGCTAAAGTTAAGCCACTGGAGACTTTAGCCTGGTTTAATCTAACTTGCTTTAAGATCTGCCTCGACTAACCACACCATATATTTTCAATGTTCACTTCAAACGAACAAATTGATCAGTTCTAACTTTTACAAAGTTTGGGTTCGTTGAACTTTGGTTTATTGATTTTAATTGTTGTTGGCAAGTTAAATTTAGTTTAGTTAGTTTTGACTTGGTTATCGTTATGGTGGTCGAGTCGCAACCACGTGTATGAGATATTTATTGTGTGTAATCTTTGGATCGGACAAAGTATTATTTGATTATTTGTTTCTTGCAACTTCTTAGTTGTAGCTACCTATAGCGGCACCTATACTAATATTATAATGAGAAAAGATCTTTATACCTGCCTCGTTGGCCGAGTGGTCGCAAATGCGACTGCCGGGCAAGGGGTCTCGGGTTCGATTCCCGGGTCGGGCAAAGTATTACTGAGATTTTTTTAAATTCTCAGTAGTAGCACGGATTCTGGAATTTTGTCTGGTATATGGCAATAGGCTTACCCCCTATTACATGGGACTCATAACATAAATAGTGAAAAGTGGGTGTTACATTGTGCACTGGCACAATGTGCACCTCTGCCTACCGCTTCAGGGATAAAAGGCGTGATGTTATGTTATCATTATACCTATGTCTGTATTGAACAGGCTCCGAAATTAATGGACCGAGTTATAAAAGATTTTCACCGTTTCAAAACTCACTTTTCATTAACAAATGCTTTTTATCCCAATGTTCATACAGAATCGATACAAATCTTCTAAAACGCAGCAGAAGAGCTGGTTTGAAACATTTGAAAAAATACTTGCTACAATAACAACAATACAAGACAAATTAAATTAAATTATTATGTTTTCGGCTTACTCACGTAATAATTTGACGAGGAACTCGACTAGTTTCAAGCCATGCTAGAGGCTATTGCGCTTGCGCTGCTACTAGTACGGCGACGACGAGTAGCAGCGCGCGTCGCCGCGTCACAGGTCGCGAAATGCTGCTCATGAATATGAACCTCTAGCATGGCTTGAAACTAGTCGAGTTCCTCATCAAATTATTACGTAAGTAAGCCGAAAACATAATAATTTATTTAATATGTCTCACGAAAGTTACAATACAAATACAAATAAAATTGAAGACAAATAAAAACTCACTAAAATTGATTACGAGGACCAAAACATGTCACAACACAGAAGTTTATTTCAGTACATTTCAGTAAAAGCATTTGCCCGATAGATCAGGGGTCAAGAAAGGTTTAGCCTAAATTAGTTTAGCCTTAGACAGTTGTGGGACGGACAGCGGTGTGTAAATAATGTAATGTACTTGAATATACTATGTGGTGTACTGGGCTTTACGGTATCGTGTGTATGTCGTTTGACTTGGGTATTTGTGAGGACTAGTAATAATTTGTCATGTTTTGTGGATGCGAAGAACCTGATTTTTAATATAAGTAATTACCTAGTGTACTTTCAGATTAACTTCTGATTATGTTATGTAGTTAATATAAACTGTTTTTTCAGTTGAATGAACGTCAACACAACTGCAATGCTGTGGTCAGTTTTAGTCCCTAGGTTAATATAAAATTAATGTGGTTTTCTACATCAAATTCTTAATATCATGCACAGTGGTCTCTGCTGC